GGTCGGGACCTGGAAAGCCCAAGCGGGTTATGACAGTGGGTGAGCTGATGAGGATCCAAATGGGGATTTCTGACGCTATGGACTCTAGAGTCAGGAGAGCTCTGCTTGGGATTTCTGCTGCTCATGTGAGCTCAATTTCTGTGCACTGTGCCTTCTTATTTGTGATCTTGGTTGATCTGGTTTGATGGGTTTGATTTTGTTTGGTGGGTAATGCTTGATTTTTATCATAGTGATAATTGTGATGATGGGATGGATATGGAGCTTAATTTTGCTACTGGTTTGGCCAATTTTGGATTTTGGTTTTTCTTACTTTAAAACAAAAATTGTTTCTTCACTAAGTGTAGTTCAATCTGATAAAACTGACAATGCAAAATATTTCACGAATGTTTAATTTCATAATGGGTAATTTCAAACTTTTGTGAATGGTCGTCTACATTGGAATTGTAATTAATCAAGCCTTGTGTTTTGATGTACTCATTAAGGTAGGAAGCTTTTTTGTTTATTTTAAATTTCGGGTATCCATCCCATTTATGAACTTCTGCCAGAAGTAATTAGGTTAATGAATCTAAACTTCATGCCTTTGAATATTCATCCCGTAAAATCTATGTACTTTTGTTGCAGAAGGCTTGATAGTAAATAGAAAATCTATATGCCAGGGGTTTTCTGGCTAGCTAAAAATGTGTGAGAAATGATGAATCTATCTGATTGCACCTTATTTGTTATTTAACATCATATTGATTCTAGTTTGTAACTTTTGTTTTTTTGCTTTTGTTTTCAGTTTTATGATGGTGAAACAGTTTACATTTTAGGATTACTTGAAAAATCCAGAATGCGTTATGTCAAAGCAAGCTTTAAACTATACTTCGTAGAGAAATGTTATCTTGCCAGACAATTTGGCAGCGTAAAATGCTTATGTTGCAAGACTCTGAATTTAGGCCATTTATTATGTTGGTTCTTGTCTTAGTGTGTTATCAAAATCCACAATCTAGCAACAGAAGCATCATTAGAGTAGTTTAGAATATTACTTTTGCCAAAGAAAAAAAACATGGCCTTTCATTGGCCAACTGGTCCCATAATGAGAGTTTGTGTCATAGAAGAGCTGGTTTAAATACCAAATAATACATGTTTTGTTTTTTTTGTTCTGTTTTTGGTATTGGTTTTGTTTCATTTTCTTTTATTTGAAAAAATGAAAATTAAGCAACCTTTAAACCAGTATTCTGTTTTGGTCAACCAAGGAATTAGAATTGTCAACTTCTCTTCTTTCCTGTATCCTGAAGTTTCAAAAGAAATACTCTGTTACTACATTGGTATTATTAAGCACCAACATCTCATGTAGCTTAAACTCTATGTGCTTGCTTTGTTTAGGAGCGTTATTATCTTGCTTTGAGGCTTTAATTCTTGTCACTTACAGGATTTATATGTACCTACTTTGCAGGAAAATCACTTGTTGGAATGGCAGAGGTTGAAGTAGCCATACAAGAAATGTTCCAGGCACCTCATA